ACGGAGGATATAAACAAAGATAATATGATACTACGGGAGATAATAAGCGGAGTGCATTACACAGTATTATTCATTAGACATTAATATATATCATTAATCTTTTGTTAAATTGGTTTTATAGTGTTTTTCTTCAAATCTTTTCCAACATATTTGACTTTTTTATAACATTGTTTTTCCGCCTCCTCTTTCTTACATTGCATGATCTTTCTATTTACATCTCTCATAATGAATATATCTTTTATTTGAATCTGCTGATGTGTATTTTTGATGCTACAGTATTTGATTGCAAGATAGTAACTTTCAATTTCACTTTCTTTTATACCTTGGAAAATCTTGTGCAATTGATTGCTCAGATGAGATGATTTGAAATTGAGTATATTTTTCATATTTTATATTATTTTTTTTACTTTTAAAGAATTTCGATTTGCATTGAAGCAACTCTTTTCCGTGGTCTTCACGACTGTTTTCCGTGGCTTAAATGCAGTGCGCTCCGCCCACGGCCTCACCGCCCAACCTCCACGCACTGACCATGCGACCACGTGACCACTTCAGCACGCGCCACGACATTCTGCAACAGGGCCACCATAAACAATTTCCCGATCGCTCGCAGTCTTCACCCATCACCCAGCCCACCCGCCAGTGACCATGGCTCTACATAAGGTCCGCCGTCCCTCTAAAGCTCAGTCCACTCTCCCGTCCTCCAAACATGAAAGGATAATATACACTCCTCTGCACCCCGTCCGTGATCAGTCTCCATCCACTCCACAGAGGGTGTCTCTCTCCCCTCCTCACTCCTATCATCGTGGCCCCCGCCACTCCATACTGCTGAGGAGTCGTTTGCCGTGGGTGCGCGCAGCAAACCTGACTGTGAGCACGAGACCGAGTTGACTGACCCAGACACGAATCCCCAGGCGCTCGCGGGGGCAACGAACACACGAGGCCAACACTGATTCCAGACCACACCCGCACCAATGCATGGCACGAAAGGGTCGATCGATACGGCTCTCCGTCAAAGCTACAAGGACCCTCTGGATGATACGGATGAGGACCTGTCAGACGTCCCGTCCGACTATGGCGGTTCCAAGCAGACTAAGAAACTCAAGTTGCGGGCGAGGGATCGTTGGCAGCGGTGAGTGCTCCATGCATTGTTGAGGACTGCGTACTGTGTTCAGCACTCACACCAGGAAGATATTGCGCAGCGAAGGCATCCGAGCCAGCTGCCGATCCGCAATGGTTTGATGCAAAGGAGGCCCTCCAGAGGGCGTCCGCGAAGGATTTGCATCGGTTCTGGAACTGGGTCCTTGGGAAGCTGGAACGTGGGAAGGGGGGCCGCAAACTCAAAGGCACCAAGAAGACAAGCTCGCTCAAGAGCGACTGGAAGTATTTTCAAGGCTATTACAGGAAAGTGACGGGAAATGGAATCAGTGAGAAGATGAGTGAAGATGTTCGGCGAGTGCGTCCACACGACACCCTCCTGCGTCTCCATGTGGCACTGACGTCTCCGCTGATAGGGCATGCGGTCTCTGGCTGATAAGCACAGTCTTGACAATCAGCCGCGCGAGAACATTCCTGTCTACATCGAGGATATGGTTCCCTTCAACCAGACAATCCTCCGGACGCGGGAGAAGCGATTCCACCTGGGACTGCAACGCCTCCTGCTGTGCTTCTATAACATGCTGGGTCTGTTCACAGTCAACCGAGAGAGTGCTATCCTGAACCTCCAATACAAGGATCTGCTCCTGTCTATGCAGAGGGATCCGCACGGGGGACCCCCTGTGCCGACAGTCGACTTCAGGCCGGAATTTATCAAGCGAAATCTAGGGATGGGGAAACTGTATGTGATCTGGCATCGCTCTGCACGAGTGTGTCATCTCCAGTTGGTCCATCTCTTCAATGCTAACAGTGGGCACAGCAACACATTTGTATTGCCGGAGATTATCTTCGATGTCTCACTTGTCTTCAGCCCGCATGTCTTCCTTTTCGGCTTCCTGTTCCACGCTGAGGCGTTCGAGAACTCTAGCCTCCAGTCGATGGAGGACGTCCGAAAGCTGGTCCCCGCGGATGGCTGCCAGGAGATGCCATTGCCCCTGAAGCGGGAGATGGATAACTGGTACATCTTCTGCAAGGTTGATGTCCAGGATGGACAGGTTCGCTTCCTACGCGATACGCCCATGAGTGCGGGCACGCTGGATTCCCAGTTGAAGAGCATGAGTGAGATCCATGGATTTCTCAACACGTTCTTCTCCCATCAGTTCCGCTACGGTGGGGGCAAGCTGCTTGATGAGAGTGGTTAGTAGCGGCCTTCTTGTCCCCTTACAATGTATCCCAGGTAAAAGGAGAAGGTGCTGACGGAGAGTCGATGACCAGGATTTGTCAGTGATTCACAGAAAAATGTGATCATGAACCACGCTACCAACCGCACCTTCATCGCCTACTACCGTACACGACGCCACACCGGCCTGCAAGAAGTCATGTGTGGTCTTGAACCGGACGAGGTGTTCTCACGAGCATTGACTCGAATGAGCCGATGGATCGACAGGCGCCGGCCCCGGCACCTGACTGATGCCGAGAGAGCCTCCGTGGAAGAGGACCCCGAACTGCAGGCGGCATCCGTATTCGGGAAGACCTGATCGACCTCTACACGCGCACGCGAGACGCTGCACTGGTGCCATTGCTACAAGAGCGACAGCGGGAGGTCAGCAACACGCGACGGAGGCTGCGGGATCAGCTAAAGCACAAGGTGCGCCGGGAGTTCAGCCGGAAGCAGGCGGTGATCGATATTGAACACCAGCTGTCTGGGTTTGGGTCAGTGCTTGACGATGAGGGTGCTCGGGAGGTGCTGCGGACGGAGTTTGAGATGCCACTGGCGCAGATCCACCTCTTGGAGAAGCTTCTGACCTGGCCCACATCAGACTCCCTGGATGACGAGTGGCGACGACGGAATGAGGCAGTTGAGGCAGTGAGACAGTACTGTGGCTTCCTTGAGGGTGGTCCCCTGCGAGGGCGACCAAAGCGAGCGATCCCGTCTGACGGCCCTCCCAGCGCGGATATCCCGCCTCAGAAGAAGACCAGACAGGAGGGTCGCCCTGTCTCCTCCCTTGCAGGAGAAGAAGTGCCCCACAGTCGATGGCCACCGCGCCCGATCCACACCGGATCCCCTGGCATGCTTTCAGTGTGGAAAAAGATACACCCAGCATGTAGGGGTCATCCGGCACTTCCGGACCGCGCATCTCAAGGATCGTCGATGCACCCCCTGCAACCTCGCACTCCTCCATGAGATGGACCTGCGGAAACACGCCGCGGTCGTTCACGGTGTCAGTACACGACCTCACAGTATTCATTGATTTTATGTCTCCTGTCGTTCTCTTACCGGTTTTGTGCTTGTATAGAGTATAGACAATAAAGCTTAGATTAGCTTTTCAAAAAGAGCTTAGTGATCATTTCAAATTCATTGTAATTTACAACAAACTGAATCTTTCGTCTATTCTGTTATTTAGAAAGCCTCTTCTGTGACAAAAATCCTCTTGAGAGAAATCCTCTTGAAATAACCCATGTGAGCAAATGCCTAGATCGCTTTTCACGTGAGCTGCCTAGCGCACCGCACATAAACTCTTCGACCTTTCCCACTACAACTGCCATCTAATATTTGTGCCAACAATAGCCGGATTTGTTACGGCCACACCCCAGATCGTGGAAAATCAACGGACAGCCAAAAACCCAGTATCTACATATCGGTCTGATCTAGCGACCATTCAGCAGTTTCAACGACCAGTTTCATGCGAGGAAATAATTCCTCCAGGCTGGACCAAAATGGGATATTTTCTGTCTATCTTTTGATCAATTTTCATCAGTAGTTTGATTCTGATTTTCCTCCATCTCCACTCGCGACCTGCATCTGTCTCTATTCCTCTCTTTGACTCTCAATTTCACTCTGTTTCTTGACTTTCTTCTGTTTTTGTTTCAGCCTTTCAGCTTCCGCTTCCGCCTGTGCCGCTTTCATTTCCTGGTAGTAGTACGGGTTGTAGATTTGACTGGAGTCGACATAGCTTGGTGTAGCCGGCCGATATTCGGCGGTAGAATTTATGTGGGAGGGATTTGACGGGGTGCCATTTCTCGCGGGGTTATGTATCTATCATTGGCGTCGATATGGGTAATCATTATAGGCACCGGCATCGGGGTCATTGGTTATTTATGGTGGGTAGTGTGGGTTATCATGGGGGTTATTCTCAATTTGGAGAGCCAATATCGGGGTGTGTCTCTGAAATATCAAGAATCGTTAAGCACCGGTGACTTCGGAGTTGTATAGACAATATAATACAGAAATTTCTTTCCAAATAGGTCATCAATACCGGTGTAAGAGGGGTGCAGAGTATTCGCCAGTCCACAAGCGAAATATTTAGGGTATACTTGGCGAGTAAAGAAGCAATATAAAACCCGTGGTGTCCGTATCCTAGCCCTTATGCAGTAATCGGTTCAGGTTCTTCAAGACATGGGGATTGACATTTCCAGAATTTGGGTTAAATTGGAGGTCAACATTGGTGGTAGAATGAAAGAAAGAGTAATTTGGATTAACCCTGACCATCATCGAAGGATCGTTGACGTAGATATATGCCCAGCTCTGTTGAGGCTAGCTCAATGATCCGACGACATTTCTTGTATTCATCGGAAAGAGATGTCAAGCACAGATACCCAAATGGGATGACTTTTAAACATCATGACATTGTATGTTGACCGTGGTGACAGGGAGGCCATTTTCGAAATCCTCAATTTCGGGTTCAAATATGTGATTAAAGATTTCGGCTTCATCCTTCTTTTTAAGAGCATAAAATTGTCTAAGAACACACAACACCACTCACTGTTGATCTGTCCACTTATGCCTTGGGATTTTAATCCTTCCAAAATCTAGGAAAGATGGGTATTTCTCAACACTGTCCATATCCGACCTAGAGAGGGATTGGGGCGACTTCTCCACGAAGACAAAGAGAATAAACAGGCAGCAGATATGGAGGAAGATTTTAAGGAGGATATGATGAAGATCGCAACTGTTCAAAATCAACACAGAAGCTCAGCTTGAATAGAATGCGGAAAGGTATTCTTAAGGGGCTGTCGAATCCCGGCCTCAAAGAACACGCTCCACAACACAACGCGACAACGACATGAGCGCGTCGTTGTGGCAGGTCATGTAGTGAATGATGATCAAATGTAAAGAAAAAAGAAAGCATTGGTCTAGGAGATGTGTAAAAACAAGCCTCCCATATTGGGCCTGAAAAACAAATGTTTTGTTTAGTAGAGGTGGTGTCAAATCTGCCTCTGGACTTTCTGATTTTCCGGATGCACTATCTATTTCTCATCTACAGTAAGACTGCAGCTCTTGGGTTGGAGATTCAGTGGATTTCTGAAAAGAATGATATGGATGCGATGAAAATTTCGGAATGGATTGGTGGGCGATAAATGCCTGGTTTTCCATGAGCAGAAGTGTTAGTCTGGGCAATATTTTCCCTGTGTACCGGGTCAATATTTTCCAGTGTTTAAAGAGAGTTATCGTGTCGTCTTCCCATCTTCTTTTGCTACTACAGACTATAAGTCCTTGAAGTTTGTTTTAGTGAGGCAAACAGAAGGGAAATGATAGGACAGAGAAGAGAGATTGAAGGGGTGGATGATGATAGGCGGGTGGCGTACATTAATCCTAAATGGGAATAGCCGACCTTCCTCAAAATACGATTTCAATCCCCCTGTTTTGTTCGCGCTTATTACCATTCCGTCGCGATCAAATAATTAGGATTCATTTTCGCCTGGTTCCTTGCTCGGCGGTTCTATCCGTTCCCACATTCGCGTTGTGCATCAAAGCCAAGCCGGATCAACCCTTTGACCATAATCCTCCCTTTGATTATATATATCACCATCTTTTCCTAGCGAGTTATATTCTCTCGCAGAGTATCATAGATCATAACTTCCTAACAATTCTGCATTTTTGTTCCCCTGTTTGCTTCCCATCACATAATATTAGCATACCAACCTAATTTTTCTCCCCTTACCAGCTCCTAGTTAACCTCGCACCAACTCAACGGTCTTTTATACCATCAAAATGGCGGGACTTTCACAAGAAGATCGCAACATTATCAAGAACCATCCTCTAACCAACTCAGTCAATCATTTACAAGGTGTGCTTCAGGAAGCTGAAAAAATCTATGAGTCACGCCTAATTTCCTATGATGGCGCTGTTGATAGCCTTGACCAACTCTATCGAAATGCGATTTCAAAACTCCTGTCTGCTTTACAGGGAGAGGATGCAGCTTACAAACTTCGCTCACAGATAAGTGATAGAAAATTGGTGTCTGATATAGCACACTTAGTCGAGCGTCTCCAAAAAGCAAAAGAAAACTTCAAGTACGACGACTACCAACCGCTGGTGCACCTGGTTATTCAAAGGCCTCCCACTGAATCCCAGAACACCGAATCCTGGAACTTCGATGTCTGGAAAGTTGTATTTAACCTCATTGACAACATCCCTCGATCAACTCCTCCGGCGAGCGTTCCTCCCTCCTTTGACGGCACGCCAGTCAAATCCACCTCATCATCGCAGAAAGGTTCCGAGCAGACGTGTGAGTTGGTGAATCCGAGAATCTTCGAGGAGATACGTGGCTGCACATTTCGAGGCGTCGAGAGCTTTTTTGACAAATACTTTGAGGAGAAGGACTGGAGTGGCAAAACAGATGCCATCTGCCGACGCGTGCTGGGCCCGGACAGCGACGGTAACTGGGCTCAGTTTCCCGATCCTCCTACACAGAATGATGTCCTCGCCTGGTGGTTTCGCCTTCAAGAAGACCTTCTCCCGGAATCACGCGGCATCTACTACACCACAGCGAGCAAAGCGGATCTTACTGGTTCGAAGGCGGAACGGCAAGTCGACCTTCTTTTGCGAGCTAGGAGTGGGACCCCCTCGCAAAACAAACACGACTGGAGAGACATCCTGGTAGTTGGCGAGCTCAAAAAATCCATGGAGGAGATCAAGACCAAGGGCACTCTGCTCCAGATGAGCCGCTACGTGCGCGAGGTCTTTACCGCCCAGCCCACCCGGCGGTTCATCCACGCGTTCGCCGTCTGCGGGACCAAGATGGAGGCGTGGGTGTTCGACCGTTCGGGTCCCTATAGCTCCGGCGTCATCGATGTCTACGAGGACTCAAGACGGTTCTTTCAGGTGCTTGTTGGCTACGCCATGATGAGTGATGAGGAACTAGGACTGGATAGTTTTATTGCTAGGGATGAAGACGGCAACAAATCAATAACCGTCAAAGAGCCTGGAACCCCAGACGAAAAAGTACTGCGGCTAGGTAAAATACTTTCCTTTCAACATGCCATTGTGTGTCGCGGGACCACATGTTTTCTCACAAACAATGGACAAGGCGTAGCCAAATTCTCGTGGGTGTCGGACAAGCGGCGGCCGGAGGTGGAACTCCTCGAGCTAGCATGTCAAAAG